GAGTTTAGGTTAACCCAGACCAAGAGCCTTCAAAGCCCTAAGCAAGTAAAATATACTTAACTCCTGATAAGGATTGCAAGACTATACCTTACATCAATTGAATGCAAATCAACCACTTTAATTAAGCTAAATCCTCACTAGATTGGTGGGCTCTACCCCCACGAAACTTTAGTTAACAGCTAAACACCCTAACGAACTGGCTTCAATCTACTTCTCCCGCCGCGAAAAAAAAAAGGCGGGAGAAGCCCCGGCAGAATTGAAGCTGCTTCTTTGAATTTGCAATTCAATATGTAATTTCACCACAGGGCTTGGTAAAAAGAGGAGTATGGACCTCTGTCTTTAGATTTACAGTCTAATGCTTTACTCAGCCATCTTACCTATGTTCATTAACCGCTGATTATTTTCAACTAACCATAAAGATATTGGCACCCTATATTTRCTATTTGGTGCTTGAGCAGGTATAGTAGGAACTGCCTTAAGCCTACTAATCCGTGCTGAACTGGGTCAACCTGGGACTCTACTCGGAGATGATCAAATTTATAACGTAATTGTTACCGCACATGCATTCGTAATAATTTTCTTTATAGTTATACCAATTATAATTGGAGGATTCGGCAATTGACTTGTTCCATTAATAATTGGTGCTCCAGATATAGCATTTCCCCGAATAAATAACATAAGCTTTTGACTTCTCCCTCCCTCTTTTTTATTACTTCTAGCATCATCTATAGTTGAAGCCGGAGCAGGGACAGGCTGAACTGTTTATCCCCCTCTAGCTGGCAATCTAGCTCACGCAGGAGCTTCAGTAGACCTAACTATTTTTTCTCTACACTTGGCGGGTGTCTCCTCGATTTTAGGAGCTATTAACTTTATTACAACAATTATTAACATAAAACCCCCTGCTATATCACAATATCAAACTCCTTTATTTGTATGATCTGTATTAATTACTGCCGTACTGCTACTTCTCTCACTCCCTGTATTAGCAGCTGGAATTACAATACTATTAACAGACCGAAATTTAAACACAACCTTTTTCGATCCAGCAGGAGGCGGAGACCCCATCCTATATCAACACCTGTTCTGATTTTTCGGACATCCCGAAGTATATATTTTAATTTTACCTGGCTTTGGTATAATTTCCCATATTGTAACTTACTACTCGGGAAAAAAAGAACCATTTGGGTATATGGGAATAGTCTGAGCTATAATATCAATTGGATTTTTAGGGTTTATTGTATGAGCCCACCACATGTTTACAGTTGGAATAGACGTTGACACACGAGCCTATTTTACATCAGCCACTATAATTATTGCTATTCCAACAGGAGTAAAGGTCTTTAGTTGACTAGCAACACTTCATGGAGGCAACATTAAATGATCACCTGCTATAATATGAGCTCTAGGCTTTATTTTCCTTTTTACAGTTGGAGGACTAACCGGAATCGTCCTTGCTAATTCTTCTCTTGATATTGTTCTTCACGATACTTACTACGTAGTTGCACATTTCCACTATGTCCTATCAATAGGAGCTGTATTTGCCATTATAGGTGGGTTTGTCCACTGATTTCCACTATTTTCAGGCTATACCCTTAATGATACATGAGCTAAAATCCATTTTGTAATTATATTCGTAGGCGTAAACATAACCTTTTTTCCACAACACTTCCTAGGACTTTCTGGCATACCACGACGATACTCTGATTACCCAGACGCATACACAATGTGAAATACAATCTCTTCTATAGGCTCATTTATTTCTCTAACAGCAGTTATACTAATAATTTTTATTATCTGAGAAGCATTTGCATCCAAGCGAGAAGTCTCAACCGTAGAATTAACAACRACAAATTTAGAGTGACTAAATGGATGCCCTCCACCATATCATACATTTGAAGAACCTACATACGTTAACTTAAAATAAGAAAGGAAGGAATCGAACCCCCTATAGCTGGTTTCAAGCCAACGTCATAACCATTATGTCTTTCTCAATTAATGAGGTGTTAGTAAAATATTATATAACTTTGTCAAAGTTAAGTTACAGGTGAAAATCCCGTATGCCTCATATGGCTTACCCCATACAATTAGGCTTCCAAGATGCAACATCACCTATTATAGAAGAACTACTACATTTTCATGACCATACATTAATAATTGTCTTTCTAATTAGCTCATTAGTGCTCTATATCATTTCATTAATGCTAACAACAAAACTAACTCACACTAGTACAATAGACGCCCAAGAAGTAGAAACAGTATGAACTATTCTACCAGCCATTATTCTAATTTTAATTGCTCTCCCATCTTTACGAATTCTCTACATGATAGATGAAATTAATAACCCATCACTCACAGTAAAAACCATAGGACATCAATGATATTGAAGTTATGAATATACAGACTATGAAGACTTAAGCTTTGACTCTTATATGATTCCAACATCAGAATTAAAGCCAGGAGAACTACGATTACTAGAAGTAGATAACCGAGTTGTTCTACCAATAGAAATGACAATCCGAATACTAGTCTCTTCTGAAGATGTACTACACTCCTGAGCCGTACCTTCTTTAGGGTTAAAAACAGACGCGATCCCAGGACGCTTAAACCAAACAACTCTTATATCAACTCGACCAGGTCTATAYTATGGACAATGCTCCGAAATCTGTGGATCAAATCACAGCTTTATACCTATTGTTCTTGAACTAGTTCCACTAAACTATTTTGAAAAATGATCTGCGTCTATACTATAAAATCACTAAGAAGCTAAGATAGCACTAGCCTTTTAAGCTAGAGACTGAGAGCACAAATACTCTCCTTAGTGATATGCCGCAACTAGATACATCTACATGATTTATAATAATTATATCAATATTCCTAACCCTCTTTATCATTTTCCAATTAAAAGTTTCAAAACATAATTTTTTCTTTAATCCAGAACCTACATCAACTAAAATACAAAAACAAAACACCCCTTGAGAAACAAAATGAACGAAAATTTATTTGCCTCTTTTATTACCCCAATAATTCTAGGCCTTCCACTCGCCACCCTTATCGTTATTTTTCCTAGCCTGCTATTCCCAACATCAAATCGTCTAGTAAATAACCGTCTTATTTCTCTCCAACAATGAGTAATTCAACTCGTATCAAAACAAATAATAGGAATTCACAATACCAAAGGACAGACATGAACATTAATATTAATATCCCTAATTATATTCATTGGATCAACCAACCTATTAGGTCTATTGCCTCACTCATTCACACCAACCACACAACTGTCAATGAATTTAGGAATAGCTATTCCCCTATGAGCAGGAACCGTAATCACAGGCTTCCGCAATAAAACCAAAGCATCACTTGCCCATTTTCTTCCACAAGGAACACCCACTCYATTAATCCCTATACTAGTTATCATTGAAACTATCAGCCTTTTTATTCAACCAATTGCCCTGGCTGTACGATTAACAGCCAATATCACCGCAGGACACCTGTTAATTCACCTAATCGGAGGGGCCACACTTGCATTAATGAGTATTAGCACTACAATAGCCCTCACTACATTTATTATTCTAGTTCTGCTCACAGTTCTTGAATTTGCAGTGGCTATGATTCAGGCCTATGTATTYACCCTTCTAGTAAGCCTCTACCTGCATGACAACACATAATGACACACCAAACTCATGCTTACCATATAGTAAACCCAAGCCCCTGACCTCTAACAGGGGCCCTATCAGCCCTCTTAATAACTTCTGGTTTAATTATATGATTTCACTTCAACTCAACAACCCTACTTATACTTGGCCTAACAACAAATATACTTACAATATATCAATGATGACGAGATATTATCCGAGAAAGCACTTTCCAAGGACATCATACTCCAACTGTTCAAAAAGGTCTCCGCTATGGAATAATTCTTTTTATTATCTCTGAGGTCTTATTCTTTACTGGATTCTTTTGAGCRTTTTATCACTCAAGCCTCGCCCCAACCCCCGAACTAGGCGGTTGCTGACCTCCAACAGGCATCCATCCACTTAATCCTYTAGAAGTCCCCCTACTTAATACCTCTGTCTTACTAGCCTCAGGAGTCTCTATCACTTGAGCTCACCATAGCCTGATAGAAGGGAACCGCAATCCCATGCTCCAAGCCCTATTTATCACCATTGCACTAGGCGTCTATTTCACACTTTTACAAGCCTCAGAATATTATGAGGCACCTTTTACCATTTCTGACGGAGTATATGGCTCAACTTTCTTCGTAGCTACAGGTTTCCACGGCTTACATGTTATTATTGGATCTACTTTCCTAATCGTCTGCTTTTTCCGCCAATTAAAATATCACTTTACTTCTAATCACCATTTTGGATTTGAGGCCGCTGCCTGATACTGACACTTCGTGGATGTGGTATGACTATTCCTCTACGTATCTATCTATTGATGAGGCTCATATTCTTTTAGTATTAATAAGTACAACTGACTTCCAATCAGTTAGTCTCGGTATAATCCGAGAAAGAATAATAAATCTAATTCTAGCCCTCCTAACCAACTTTACATTAGCCTCATTACTTGTTATYATCGCATTCTGACTTCCCCAATTAAATGCTTACTCAGAAAAAACAAGCCCATACGAATGCGGATTTGACCCTATAGGATCAGCTCGCCTACCTTTCTCTATAAAATTTTTCTTAGTAGCCATCACATTTCTCCTCTTTGACCTAGAAATTGCACTCCTTCTACCATTACCATGAGCTTGCCAAACAGATAATTTGAGTACTATACTTACCATAGCCCTTTTTCTAATTTTATTACTAGCCGCAAGTCTAGCCTATGAATGAACCCAAAAAGGATTAGAATGGACTGAATATGGTATTTAGTTTAAAATAAAATAAATGATTTCGACTCATTAGACTGTGATCAAATTCACAACTACCAAGTGTCTCTAGTATACATAAATATTATAACAGCATTTATAGTATCTCTCGCAGGACTACTAATATATCGATCTCACCTCATATCTTCTCTTCTATGCTTAGAAGGCATAATACTATCCCTATTCGTGATAGCCACCCTAACAATCTTAAACACGCACTTCACTTTAGCAAGTATAATACCCATTATTCTACTAGTCTTTGCAGCCTGCGAAGCAGCACTAGGRCTATCACTACTAGTAATAGTATCAAAYACATACGGCACCGATTATGTTCAGAACTTAAATTTACTTCAATGCTAAAATACATTATTCCTACAGTAATACTTATGCCTCTGACCTGATTATCAAAAGGCAATATAATCTGAATTAACTCCACAACTCAYAGCCTATTAATTAGTCTTACAAGTCTTCTTCTTATAAACCAATTTAGTGATAACAGCCTTAACTTCTCCTTAGTATTTTTCTCCGACTCCCTGTCAACACCACTACTAATTCTAACCATGTGGCTTCTCCCCCTAATATTAATAGCTAGCCAACACCACCTATCAAAAGAGAGCTTAACTCGAAAAAAACTGTATATTACTATACTAATTCTTTTACAACTATTCCTAATTATAACCTTTACCGCTATAGAATTAATTTTCTTTTATATTTTATTTGAAGCAACATTAGTCCCAACACTTATTATTATCACTCGATGAGGCAATCAAACAGAACGCCTAAACGCAGGCCTTTACTTCCTATTTTATACACTAGCAGGTTCTCTTCCACTACTTGTTGCACTAGTTTATCTTCAAAATATTACTGGATCCTTAAACTTTTTAATTCTTCAATACTGAGTACAACCTCTATCAAACTCTTGATCAAACGTCTTTATATGACTAGCATGTATAATAGCCTTTATGGTAAAAATACCACTGTATGGCCTTCACCTCTGACTACCGAAGGCCCATGTAGAAGCCCCCATTGCAGGATCTATAGTTCTTGCAGCAATCCTATTAAAACTAGGAGGGTATGGAATACTACGAGTTACAATATTCCTAAATCCACTCACCGAGTTCATAGCATATCCCTTCATTATACTATCACTATGAGGCATAATCATAACCAGCTCAATCTGCCTCCGCCAAACAGATCTCAAATCACTAATTGCATATTCTTCTGTTAGTCACATAGCACTTGTCATTGTAGCTATCCTCATCCAAACACCTTGAAGCTATATAGGGGCCACAGCCTTAATAATTGCCCACGGCCTTACCTCATCTATATTATTTTGCCTAGCAAACTCTAACTACGAACGAATTCACAGTCGAACAATAATTTTAGCCCGAGGTTTACAGACTTTTCTTCCACTAATAGCCACCTGATGACTTCTAGCAAGCTTGACCAACCTGGCCCTCCCTCCAACAATTAATTTGATCGGGGAACTATTTGTAGTAATATCCACCTTCTCGTGATCTAATATTACAATTATTTTAATAGGACTAAATATAGTAATTACCGCCTTATATTCCCTTTATATATTAATTACAACACAACGAGGTAAATATACTCATCACATTAATAATATTTCACCTTCTTTTACACGGGAAAATGCTATCATATCATTGCACATTCTACCTCTACTACTATTATCACTAAACCCAAAAATTATTCTAGGACCCTTGTACTGTAAATATAGTTTAAAAAAAACATTAGATTGTGAATCTGATAATAGGAGCTTGTATCTCCTTATTTGCCGAAAAAGCACGCAAGAACTGCTAATTCTATGCTCCCATGTATAATAACATGGCTTTTTCGAACTTTTAGAGGATGACAGTAATCCATTGGTCTTAGGAGCCAAAAAATTGGTGCAACTCCAAATAAAAGTAATAAACCTATTCTCTTGCTTTTCACTAATTACTTTACTTTTATTAATTATCCCCATTATAACTACAAGCTCTAATATTTACAAAACCTATAACTACCCTCTACATGTAAAAACAACTATCTCATGTGCCTTCATTACTAGTATAATCCCCACAATAATATTTATTCATACAGGCCAAGAAATAATCATCTCAAACTGACACTGACTTACAATTCAAACAGTTAAACTATCACTAAGCTTCAAAATAGACTATTTCTCAATAATATTTGTTCCAGTAGCATTATTTGTCACATGGTCCATTATAGAATTTTCCATATGATAYATGCACTCAGACCCTAATATTAATCAATTTTTTAAGTATCTCCTTCTATTTCTTATTACCATACTAATTCTCGTTACAGCAAACAACCTATTCCAATTGTTTATTGGATGAGAAGGCGTAGGAATCATATCCTTTCTACTCATCGGATGATGATATGGACGAGCAGATGCAAACACAGCAGCCTTACAAGCAATTCTATATAACCGTATTGGTGAYATCGGCTTCATTCTAGCAATAGCATGATTCCTAACTAATCTCAACGCCTGAGACTTTCAACAAATTTTCATACTAAACCCAAATAATTCTAATATACCCCTAATAGGCCTCGCATTAGCTGCAACTGGAAAATCCGCCCAATTTGGCCTACACCCATGACTACCTTCTGCAATAGAAGGCCCTACTCCTGTCTCAGCATTACTTCACTCAAGCACAATAGTAGTAGCAGGCATTTTCCTGCTAATCCGTTTCCACCCACTAACAGAAAATAACAAATTCGCACAATCTATCATACTATGTTTAGGAGCTATCACCACTCTATTTACAGCAATATGCGCTCTCACCCAGAACGATATCAAAAAAATYATCGCTTTCTCTACATCTAGCCAATTAGGCCTCATAATAGTAACAATTGGCATTAACCAACCCTACCTGGCATTTCTCCACATTTGCACCCACGCCTTTTTCAAAGCCATGTTATTTATATGCTCCGGCTCTATTATCCATAGCCTAAATGATGAACAAGACATCCGAAAAATAGGTGGCTTATTCAAAGCCATACCATTCACTACAACAGCCTTAATTATTGGCAGCCTGGCATTAACAGGAATACCATTTCTTACTGGGTTTTATTCCAAAGACCTAATCATCGAAACCGCTAACACGTCGTATACCAACGCCTGAGCCCTCCTAATAACATTAATTGCCACTTCCTTCACAGCTATCTACAGCACTCGTATCATCTTCTTTGCACTCCTAGGACAACCCCGATTTCCAACCTTAATAAACATTAATGAAAATAACCCCTTTTTAATGAACTCTATTAAGCGCCTAATAATTGGAAGCCTTTTCGCAGGATTCATTATCTCTAACAACATTCCTCCAACAACAATCACCCAAATAACAATACCCCATTACCTAAAAATAACAGCCTTAGCAGTGACAATTTTAGGCTTCATTCTAGCACTAGAAGTTAGCAATATAACTCAAAATCTAAAATTTAATTACCCATCAAACGCCTTTAAATTCTCTAACATATTAGGATATTTTCCCACAATCATACACCGCCTGACCCCCTACATAAATCTGACAATTAGCCAAAAATCAGCCTCCTCTCTCCTAGACTTAATCTGACTTGAAAGTATTTTACCAAAAACAACTTCACTCATACAAATAAAAATATCAGTAATAGTAACAAATCAAAAAGGCTTAATTAAACTATATTTCCTCTCTTTCTTGGTTACAATCATTATCAGCACCATCCTACTTAATTTCCACGAGTAATTTCCATAATAACTACCACACCAATCAATAAAGACCAACCAGTCACAACAACTAACCAAGTCCCATAACTGTATAGAGCTGCAATTCCTATAGCCTCCTCACTAAAAAAACCAGAATCCCCTGTATCATAAATGACTCAATCTCCTAAACCATTAAACTGAAATACAATTTCCACTTCTTCATCTTTCAACACATAACAAACCATCATAATCTCCATTAGTAAACCAGTCACAAATGCCCCTAAAACAGTTTTGTTAGACACCCATATCTCGGGATACTGCTCTGTAGCTATAGCTGTTGTATAACCAAAAACTACCATTATCCCCCCCAAATAAATTAAAAAAACCATTAAACCCAAGAAAGACCCACCAAAATTTAATACAATACCACAACCAACCCCACCACTTACAATTAAACCTAATCCCCCATAAATAGGCGAAGGTTTTGAAGAAAATCCTACAAAACCAAGCACAAAAATAATACTTAAAATAAATACAATGTATGTTATCATTATTCTCGCATGGAATCTAACCACGACTAATGATATGAAAAACCATCGTTGTCATTCAACTACAAGAACACYAATGACCAACATCCGAAAAACCCACCCACTAATAAAAATTGTAAACAACGCRTTCATTGATCTCCCAGCCCCATCAAACATTTCATCATGATGAAACTTCGGCTCTCTGCTAGGAATTTGCTTAATCCTACAAATTCTTACTGGTCTATTCCTAGCAATACATTATACATCCGACACAATAACAGCATTTTCCTCTGTCACTCACATCTGCCGAGACGTTAACTATGGCTGAATCATTCGATAYATACATGCCAATGGRGCATCCATATTCTTTATCTGTCTATTYATACACGTGGGACGAGGACTATACTACGGATCATATACTTTCTTAGAAACATGAAACATTGGAGTAATTCTCCTATTCACAGTTATAGCCACAGCATTCGTAGGGTATGTCCTACCATGAGGACAGATGTCATTCTGAGGGGCAACAGTCATTACAAATCTCCTCTCAGCAATCCCATATATCGGCACAAATCTAGTCGAATGAATCTGAGGAGGCTTTTCCGTAGACAAAGCAACCCTAACCCGATTCTTCGCCTTCCACTTTATCCTCCCATTTATCATCGCAGCACTTGCTATAGTCCATYTACTCTTYCTCCACGAAACAGGATCTAACAACCCAACAGGAATYCCATCAGACGCAGACAAAATTCCATTYCACCCCTACTACACCATTAAAGATATCCTAGGAGTACTACTTCTAGTCCTCTTCCTAATRCTATTAGTACTATTCGCACCAGACCTACTCGGAGACCCAGACAATTATACCCCAGCAAATCCACTCAATACCCCTCCYCATATTAAACCTGAATGATATTTCCTGTTTGCATACGCAATCTTACGATCAATTCCAAACAAACTAGGAGGAGTATTAGCCCTAGTCTCATCTATCTTAATCCTAATTCTCATACCCCTACTTCATACATCTAAACAACGCAGCATAATATTCCGACCATTCAGCCAATGCCTATTCTGAATCCTAGTAGCAGACTTACTAACACTCACATGAATTGGAGGCCAACCAGTTGAACATCCCTTTATCACTATTGGACAACTAGCGTCAATCCTATACTTTCTCATTATTCTAGTACTTATGCCAGTTATTAGCACAATCGAAAACAATCTCTTAAAATGAAGATAAGTCTTTGTAGTACATTCAATACACTGGTCTTGTAAACCAGAAAAGGAGAGCAACCAATCTCCCTAAGACTCAAGGAAGAAGCCATAGCCCCACTATCAACACCCAAAGCTGAAGTTCTATTTAAACTATTCCCTGACGCATATTAATATAGCTCCATAAAATCCAAGAGCTTTATCAGTATTAAATTTTTAAAAATTTTTAATAATTTAATACAGTTTTGCACTCAATAGCCATATTACATTCTTTAATACCATTACCTACACAAACTGTACAACAACGTATTTATCATATAATTTTATGCGGGTACAGTACATAAAGTTAATGTATCAAAACATACTATGTATAATAGCACATTACATTATATACCCCATACTTATAAGCAAGTACATGAAATTAATGTATTAAGACATACTATGTATAATAGTACATTAAACTATATACCCCATGCTTACAAGCAAGTACATACAATCACTTCAAGTACATAGTACATATCATTATTAATCGTTCATAGCACATTAAGTCAAATCTACTCTCGTCAACATGCGTATCCCGTCCCCTAGATCACGAGCTTAACCACCATGCCGCGTGAAACCAACAACCCGCTTGGCAGGGATCCCTCTTCTCGCTCCGGGCCCATGTAATGTGGGGGTAGCTATTTAATGAACTTTATCAGACATCTGGTTCTTTCTTCAGGGCCATCTCACCTAAAATCGCCCACTCTTTCCTCTTAAATAAGACATCTCGATGGACTAATGACTAATCAGCCCATGCTCACACATAACTGTGGTGTCATACATTTGGTATTTTTAATTTTTGGGGGGATGCTTGGACTCAGCTATGGCCGTCTAAGGCCCCGACCCGGAGCATATATTGTAGCTGAACTTAACTGCATCTTGAGCATCCCCATAATGGTAGGCATGAGCATAGCAGTGAATGCTAGTAAGACATAGCTGTAATAGTAAACACAGGCATATTAATTAATGGTAACAGGACATAACTATTATTTCATGATTCAACCCTATAACTTTTTCCCCCCCCCGAAATCTCCCCCTTATATGGTTACCACAATTTTTAACACACTTCTCCCTAGATAGTATTTTAAATTTATCGCATTTTCAATACTCAATTAGTACTCCAGGGCGAGGTAAGTATATAAGCGCCATTTTTTCTTCTCCAAATCATAGTTAATGTAGCTTAAACAATAAAGCAAGGCACTGAAAATGCCTAGATGAGTATAATTACTCCATAAACACAGAGGTTTGGTCCCAGCCTTCCTATTAATCCCTAGCAGACTTACACATGCAAGTATCCTCATCCCAGTGAAAATGCCCTCCAAGTCAATAAAACTAAGAGGAGCTGGTATCAAGCTCACACCCGTAGCTCATGACGCCTTGCTCAGCCACACCCCCACGGGAGACAGCAGTGATAAAAATTAAGCTATAAACGAAAGTTTGACTAAGTCATGCTAATTAGGGTTGGTAAATTTCGTGCCAGCCACCGCGGTCATACGATTAACCCAAGTTAATAGGCACACGGCGTAAAGCGTGTTTAAGCACTACGCCAAATAAAGTTAAACTCCAATTAAGCTGTAAAAAGCCATAATCAAGACGAAAATAAATAACGAAAGTAACTTTACAACCGCTGAAACACGATAGCTAAGATCCAAACTGGGATTAGATACCCCACTATGCTTAGCCCTAAACATAAATAGTTATATAAACAAAACTATTCGCCAGAGTACTACCGGCAATAGCTTAAAACTCAAAGGACTTGGCGGTGCTTTATACCCTTCTAGAGGAGCCTGTTCTATAATCGATAAACCCCGATAGACCTTACCACCCCTTGCTAATACAGTCTATATACCGCCATCTTCAGCAAACCCTAAAAAGGAACAAAAGTAAGCACAATCACTATACATAAAAACGTTAGGTCAAGGTGTAACCTATGGAGTGGAAAGAAATGGGCTACATTTTCTAATCTAAGAAAACTCTTTACGAAAGTTACTATGAAATTAGTAACCAAAGGAGGATTTAGCAGTAAACTAAGAATAGAGTGCTTAGTTGAATTAGGCCATGAAGCACGCACACACCGCCCGTCACCCTCTTCAAATAGGCACAATACACTTAAATTTAATTATACGTATTAATCATATGAGAAGAGATAAGTCGTAACAAGGTAAGCATACTGGAAAGTGTGCTTGGATAATCAAGATATAGCTTAAATTAAAGCACCTAGTTTACACCTAGAAGATTTCACATATTATGAATATCTTGAACTAACCCTAGCCCACAAACCTATTTATACTAAATTATCAAGATACTACAAATAAAACATTTACCCACTGTTAAAAGTATAGGAGATAGAAATTTTAGATATGGCGCTATAGAGAAAGTACCGTAAGGGAACGATGAAAGAAAAAAATTAAAGTACAAAAAAGCAAAGATTATCCCTTGTACCTTTTGCATAATGAGTTAACTAGTAAAAACTTAACAAAATGAATTTCAGCTAAGTACCCCGAAACCAGACGAGCTACTTATGAACAATTTATCGAGAATCAACTCATCTATGTGGCAAAATAGTGAGAAGATTCATAAGTAGAGGTGAAACGCCTAACGAGCCTGGTGATAGCTGGTTGTCCAGGAAATGAATATTAGTTCAGCTTTAAAAATACCAATAATATAAACAAATATACTGTATTTTTAAAAGTTAGTCTAAAAGGGTACAGCCTTTTAGAAACGGATACAACCTTGACTAGAGAGTAAAACTTGACAATACCATAGTAGGCCCAAAAGCAGCCACCAATTAAGAAAGCGTTAAAGCTCAACAATAAAACTATCTTAATCCCAATAACAAATAATCAACTCCTAGCCTTAATACTGGACTAATCTATAAAAATAGAAGCAATAATGTTAATATGAGTAACAAGAAGTATCTTCTCCCCGCACGAGTTTAAGTCAGTACCTGATAATATTCTGACCATTAACAGCAAAATAAGAATAACCTAACTATAAATAACTTACTTATTACACTGTTAATCCAACACAGGAGTGCACTTAAGGAAAGATTAAAAGAAGTAAAAGGAACTCGGCAAACACTAAACCCCGCCTGTTTACCAAAAACATCACCTCCAGCATAACTAGTATTGGAGGCATTGCCTGCCCAGTGACAACCGTTAAACGGCCGCGGTATCCTGACCGTGCAAAGGTAGCATAATCATTTGTTCTCTAAATAAGGACTTGTATGAATGGCCAAACGAGGGTTTTACTGTCTCTTACTTCCAATCAGTGAAATTGACCTTCCCGTGAAGAGGCGGGAATACCATAATAAGACGAGAAGACCCTATGGAGCTTTAACTACTTAGTCCAAAGAAATAAATTTATTAACCAAGGAAACAACAATACTCTTTATGGACTAACAGCTTTGGTTGGGGTGACCTCGGAGAACAGAAAATCCTCCGAGCGATTTTAAAGACTAGACTCACAAGTCAAATCACACAATCGCTTATTGATCCAAAAAATTGATCAACGGAACAAGTTACCCTAGGGATAACAGCGCAATCCTATTCAAGAGTTCATATCGACAATAGGGTTTACGACCTCGATGTTGGATCAGGACACCCCGATGGTGCAACCGCTATCAAAGGTTCGTTTGTTCAACGATTAAAGTCCTACGTGATCTGAGTTCAGACCGGAGTAATCCAGGTCGGTTTCTATCTATTACGTATTTCTCCCAGTACGAAAGGACCAGAGAAATAAGGCCAACTTAAAAYAAGCGCCTTAAATTTACTAATGATYTTATCTTAATTAGATACACAAAYAAACCTCGCCCTAGAAAAGGGCTTTGTTAAGGTGGCAGAGCCCGGTAATTGCGTAAAACTTAAACCTTTATAATCAGAGATTCAAATCCTCTCCTTAACAAAATGTTTATAATTAATATCTTAATATTAATTATTCCTATCCTCCTAGCCGTAGCATTCCTTACACTAGTAGAACGGAAAGTCCTAGGATATATACAATTTCGAAAAGGCCCAAACATTGTAGGTCCCTATGGCTTACTCCAACCTATTGCAGATGCTATTAAACTTTTTATTAAAGAACCATTACGACCTGCCACATCCTCAGTCTCAATATTCATTTTAGCCCCCATTTTAGCCCTAAGCCTAGCCCTAACTATGTGAATCCCCCTGCCCATACCATACCCCCTTATCAATATAAACTTAGGGGTGTTATTCATATTAGCAATATCAAGCCTAGCCGTATACTCTATTCTTTGGTCAGGCTGAGCTTCCAATTCAAAATATGCACTAATTGGAGCTCTTCGAGCAGTAGCACAAACAATTTCATATGAAGTAACACTAGCAATTATTTTATTATCTGTTCTCATAATAAATGGATCCTACACACTCTCTACCCTAATTATTACACAAGAACAAGTATGACTAATCTTTCCAGCATGACCCTTAGCAATAATATGATTTATTTCAACACTAGCAGAAACAAATCGAGCTCCATTCGACCTCACCGAAGGTGAATCAGAACTAGTCTCAGGCTTTAACGTAGAATATGCAGCAGGGCCATTCGCCCTATTCTTTATAGCAGAGTACGCAAACATTATTATAATAAATATCTTTACAACAATTCTATTTCTAGGAGCATTCCACAATCCAATCTTACCAGAACTCTACACAATTAACTTTACTATCAAATCTTTACTATTAACAATTTCTTTCTTATGAATCCGAGCATCATACCCTCGATTCCGTTATGACCAGCTAATACATCTATTATGAAAAAATTTTCTACCTTTAACACTAGCCCTATGCATATGACACGTATCACTACCCATCTTTTTATCAAGCATCCCCCCACAAACATAAGAAATATGTCTGATAAAAGAGTTACTTTGATAGAGTAAATTATAGAGGTTTAAGCCCTCTTATTTCTAGAACTATAGGAATTGAACCTACTCCTAAGAATCCAAAACTCTTCGTGCTCCCAATTACACCAAACTCTAATAGTAAGGTCAGCTAATTAAGCTATCGGGCCCATACCCCGAAAATGTTGGTTCATATCCTTCCCGTACTAATAAACCCAATTATCTTTATTCTCATCTTATCAACAATGATATTAGGAACTATTATTGTCATAATTAGTTCCCACTGATTACTTGTCTGAATCGGATTCGAAATAAATATACTCGCTATTATTCCCATTATAATAAAAAAACACAACCCACGAGCTACAGAAGCATCAACCAAATATTTTTTAACCCAATCAACAGCTTCAATACTACTAATGATAGCCGTCATTATTAACCTAATATTCTCAGGCCAATGAACCGTAATAAAATTATTTAACCCAGTAGCATCTATGCTCATAACAATAGCCCTTGCTATAAAATTAGGAATAGCTCCATTTCACTTCTGAGTCCCAGAAGTAACACAAGGCATCCCCCTATCATCAGGCCTAATCTTGCTAACATGACAAAAACTAGCACCCATATCCGTACTCTACCAAATTTACCCATCCATTAACCTAAATATAATCTTAACCATTTCCATTTTATCAATTATAATTGGAGGTTGAGGAGGACTAAATCAGACTCAACTACGAAAAATTATAGCCTATTCATCAATTGCCCACATAGGCTGAATAACAGCAGTCCTACCATATAATCCTACAATGACACTACTAAACCTAATTATTTACATTATTATGACCTCCACCATATTCACACTATTTATAGCCAATTCAACCACCACCACCCTGTCACTCTCTCACACATGAAATAAAATACCCGTAATAGCTATCCTGATTCTCGTAACCCTCCTATCAATAGGAGGACTTCCCCCACTATCAGGATTTATGCCAAAATGAATAATTATTCAAGAAATAACAAAAAATGATAGCCTTATCTTACCCACCTTTATAGCAATCACAGCTCTACTAAACTTATATTTCTACATACGACTTACCTACTCCACAGCACTAACAATATTTCCCTCTATAAACAACATAAAAATAAAATGACAATTCTCCACTACAAAACAAATAACCCTTCTACCCACAATAGTTGTTTTATCCACTATATTATTGCCACTGACACCAATCCTATCAGTACTAGAATAG